CAAGATTTTGGAAGTGATCAAGGGCTGCACTTTTCAGTGGAGGCTCTGGAGGGGTCTGGGACGGAGGTTGGGGGCAGATGGGAGCTTGGGGTAGGGGATGGGGTGCAGAAGAGGGTGTGGGGTCGGAGAGGGAGTTTGAGTGAAGAAGGGGATAGTGATCTGGGGCAGGGGATTAGGGTGCAGGGTCCAGGACGGGGATCTGGGTGCAGGAAAGGTCTGGTGAGGGGTGAAGGAGGGGGTGCAGGGTTTGGGACAGAGGTTGGGTGTAGAAAGGAGCTTGGGATAGGGAATTGGAGTGCAGGACGGGGTGTGGCGTCTGAGAGGGAGTTTGGGTGAAAGAAGGGGTTGTGACTTGGGGCAGAGGATTGGGGTGCAGGGTCTGGGAGGGGGTATGGATGCAGAGGAGGATTCTGGCCTGGGAGAGGAGATGCAGGGTCCAGGGGGGGGAGGGGGGAGGAGGAGTGACATGGGGCAGGGAAGGGAGTGCAGGGGGTTGAGTTGTGAGCTGGGGCAGGAGATTGGGGTTTGGGAGTGGGTGAGGTGCCAGGTGCATGCTCTGGCCAAGAGGTGCTTATCTTAGGTGACTCCTGGCCTATAGCCCAGCAAGACCCTCAGAAAGGTTCCCTGCCTGCCTGCCTGCTGCGACCCACACACTGCTCAGAGGGACCGGCTGCGGGGATCATATGAGTCTCTGTGTGCCACATGCCTCTTGGGAGGCGGCTTCCACGTGCAGCCTGCACCATAAGCATGGCCCAGGCAGCTCCTATTGGCTGGTTTCTGGGCAATGGGAGCTAGAAGCCTGAGCAGTGGGCAGGGGCAGCACATGAAGTCCTGCCCACAGGGGTGCACAGTGTGCAGAGACACATATGGCCCTTGCAGGCAACCGCTTGAGTGGTGTGCAGGGACACAGAAGGCAGGGAGCCTGCCCAAAGCTCGGTCTGGGCCACAGGTCAGTGGCAGGACAGATCCAATCCAGGGACCATATTTTGCCTGTCCTTGGACTAGACCCAGAGCTCTGGGGCCCTCCCCCTCCAGCCCTATCATGAGTCCCCTGAGCCAGCCAAGAATTTTGCATCCCTCTCTTGACATTGTCATAGAATCAGCCCAGTAACCAGAGCCCCGTGGGTGGACGGTTCACCTGTTCAATTTGATCAGGGAAGCCAGGTGTGAGAGAATGACACAGAGCTCAGAAAAAAAGCAAGAACTTTGGGGTCTGTTCTCTAGAGACTTGGGCTGTAAGAAATTGCTCTCTTCGCTCTTGGCTCCCTCTGCACCCAGAGACACCGGACTTTGGGGTTATTTTTCTTTTTAAAGACACATAACCCCCATCACAGACATCCCTGCCATCCGCTTAAACTCCCACCTGGAACAGCCCTGATGACCAAAAGAAGGCAACAGCGTTGTTTCCTACCCACCAGCAAACTTTTTACTTAGGAACCGACAAACTGATTCCACCAGAAGAAACTAAAAACGAACCTAACGCTTTGCCCAGCACGTGTATCAAAAGGGACTATCATTTTTTTGCTGTTTATTTTTATAGGCATTTTCCTCAGAATTTCCTGTCCATGAGAGCAGAAGTGAAAATAAGATATATCACAAGAGAAGCAGTTCTTTCCCATTTCTCACTCTGACACGCAGGATGTGGTTAAAGCCTCTGCTTCTTAGATTCCCACATCTAATTCCTAGTTGTGTCCTCTAGTACTGTGAAATGTGCTACATGTTCAAAAGGAAAAATGATGATTGAGTATTAAGAAGTTTGTATCCACTGCTAAAGGATGAGCAATGTCTCTGGAAAATTATGAAGACTACTTCAAAGCAAAGGCATCGGGACAAGCTATTTTATTGGTTCCACCATCATAAATTGATCCTCTTACTCCTGTGGGGTTTTTTGTTTGCTGTACCACAGAGCACAACTGGGTTCCAGGCCTGGTTGGACTCACTAGGGTAATGTTGAGCTAACACACTCTTGTAGATCCCATGGTGTAATGGTTAGCACACAAGACTCTGACTCCTGCAGTCTGAGTTCAAATCTCAGTGGGACCTCTTGGTGGGATGCTGGTTTTATGCAAAATACTCCTACTTTAAATGCCTTTTTTAGTCTACAGAAGACTGAGGGGGGAGTTGAGAACAGCTATCAACTCCCTGAAGGGGGGTTCCAAAGAGGATGGCGAGAGGCTGTTCTCAGTGGTGGCAGATGTCAGAATGAGGAGCAATGGTCTCAAGCCGCAATGGGGGAGGTCTAGATAGATTTGGATACAGCCTCTCTCCGATTTATGAACCGGTTATGGACCAAGCAGTTGGTCTTAACTCAGTTTGTTCATATGTCAGACCCCATAGAGTTACACGCAACCGCGCTGTTCGTAAGCGCGGATCGCGTTCGTAACTCCGGGTCCGCCATTTACGACAGCTTCGGTCGTAAATGCGAACGGTCGTAAGTCGACTGTTCGCAACTCGGGGACCTGCTGTATTAGGAAAAACTATTTCCCTAAAAGGGCGGGGAAGCACTGGGAAGGGTTGCTAAGGGATGTGGTGGAAACTCCTCCATCTCTAGAGGTTTATAAATCCCAACTCGACAAAGCCTTGGTTGAGGTGATTTAGTTTGGATTGGTCCTGCTTTGAGCAGGGGGTTGGACGCGATGACCTCCGGAGATCCCTTCCAACCTTAGACGTCTATGAACTGTCATTAGAGGAGGTTTTGGAACAAATTGATAAACCAAACAGTAACAAGTCACCAGGGCCAGATGGAATTCACCCAAGTCTTGTGAAAGAACTCTTATGTAAAATTGTGACACTACTAACTGTGGTTTGTAACCTATCCTTTAAACCACACTACTCAACACGTGACCCGCCACATGCAGCCCACAGCCTGTTGGTTTGTGGCCTGCGGTGCAGTTTGGGTATAGGCAGGTCTCAACATATGGCCTGCAGGTGTGATTCTTTGAACATGGCCTTGATAGGGAACACGCTCCATAATGGCAAGTCAATATAATGGTCTTCTGTTGATATGCATTTTAGTAGTTCAATTCCTGCACTGTCATTGCTCATTAAAAGTGCTGTCCTATGGGTGGAAATTGGGTAACTATTGCATTTTAGTAATATCAGCAGAACTGACTTAATGGGGCCTGCATGTTGTGTAGTCTCGCCTTAATCTTTGTATTCATGCCCATCAGCGTGAAAGAAGCTATTTGCATATATTTGCATATACATATATTTGCATGTACATCAACCACACTCAAGTTGTGGCCCGTGCATGTGCTGTGAGAATCATTGTGGTCCCTGGGGGCTTCCGAAGTTGAATAGCCCTTCTGTTATGCTTAAACGAAGCACACAAGATCTTTTATAGGGAAAAGGCAGTATGCTGCATTTATTGAGAATACAACAATAGCATATGCTTTTCTGTCACTTATACACAGACACCATACACACACAGTCCTGCCAGACGATATTATAGTTACCAGTCCAGAGTCTGGAACGATCTAGTGGCCAGCCAGATCAATCACAGAGGGAGAGCAGGGACTTTTGTCAGTTGCGAGCCTATGCTCTTCTGGAGTTGGTGGCAAGATGAACCCAAAGTTCCATAGCAAGGCATCCTGCTTTTATCATCCTCCTTCCTCTGTTGAAGTCTATGGATTTCGCTGTGCCAGTCTGTGACAGGTGTGCTATTTTGTTGATGTTAATCATTCCCAAAACATCTCGAAAGGCTCATCCTGTCCTGGATTGTTAATCAGTTGTTTTTAGGGATGCCTTCACCTTTAGAGCTGTCACTCTGCCAATCTGATCAATTCTTGACTATGGGTATGCACTGATGGTTCCTCTGATGCCGATATGTCTCTTTGCAGTCTGTCTCTCACAGTTTGTCTTCACCTGCATTGTCCCCCTTCTCTCTTGACCATCTGGCTCTAACGGTGACTTTCACACCGTTCTCTCATTCACACCGTCTTTCACAAAATCCTTCAAAGGTAAACAGCAGTGCTTTATATTAAGCAAAAGCAAAACAATTCACATCGAAGGCCCGGGCCTTCAATATTTCTAATCTCCTTAACATAGATACAATACCAAAAACTCTATTATCTCTTTACTTACTAAACTCACTAAACTATTATTTATATATTTTATATACTATTATTTATATACTATTTTTTTAAATATATATATAAAAAATTAAAGGGCTTAATTATTAAATGTTAAATGTATAATGTTACCTTACATTGCTACCTTATTAATCCTAAAATACAAATATAAAAAGAATAAAACTTTCAATTCCAACACTTCTTTAAATCTTCCAAGTGACTGGAAGATAGCTAATATGACACCAATTTTCAGAAAGGCCTCTAGAAGTGATACTATTATTTATATACTATTTTTTTATATATATATATAAAAAATTAATGGGCTTAATTATTAAATGTTAAATGTATAATGTTACCTTACATTGCTACCTTATTAATCCTAAAATACAAATATAAAAAGAATAAAACTTTCAATTCCAACACTTCTTTAAATCTTCCAAGTGACTGGAAGATAGCTAATATGACACCAATTTTCAGAAAGGCCTCTAGAAGTGATCCTGGCAATTATAGACTAGCAAGTTTAAATATAGAACCGGGCAAATTGGCTGAAACTATAGTAAAGAACAGAATTGTCAGATACGTAGATGAACATAATTTGCTGGAGGGAAAGCCAGCATGGTTTCTGAGGAGGAAAATCACGCCTTATTAATTCTTTGAGAGGGTCGATAAGCATGTGGACAAGGGGGATCCAGTGGCTATAGTGTACTTAGATTTTCAGAAAGTCTTTGACAAGGCCCCTCACCAAAGGTTCTTAAATAAGCTGTCATGGGATTAGAAGGAAGGTTCACTTATGGATCGATAACTGGTTAAAAGACAGAATACAAAGGATAGGAATAAATGGTCAGTTCTCACAATGGAGAGAAGTAACTGGTGGTGTCCCACAGGGGTCTGTACTGGGACCTATCCCATTCAACATATTGGGAAAAAACCTTTTTGCTCAAGATCCTGTAAACCTCATTTTTTGAGAAATAAGGGCTCTTGTGCAAAAGGGTTTTTTTCTGTCAAATGGCCCCGTCTACATAGGACTTTTTAATGGCAAAACCTCTTCTGCAAAAAGGATCTGAAGAGGATATACAAATAAGAGTGCAAGATATGCAAATGAGTGCTTCGTTTGCATATCTTCTGCAGGAAAAATAAAAACGGCCATGTAGACGTAGCCTCAGTGTTTCACACTAGCAGCTCAATCCGTGCAAGCACTCCTGGTGAGGACATGCACCGCTAATGCAAGCAGTGTTTCTTAAAGTGTGTTCCGTGGCACACTGGTGTGCCTCAAGGCAGTCGCAGGTGTGCCACGCAGAGAGAACAGAATTCGACATGGGACAAGCCCCCCTTTTTTTGTTTTCTTTTGCTCAACAACTTTTCGATATACAAATAAGAGTGCAAGATATGCAAATGAGTGCTTCGTTTGCATATCTTCTGCAGGAAAAATAAAAACGGCCATGTAGACGTAGCCTCAGTGTTTCACACTAGCAGCTCAATCCGTGCAAGCACTCCTGGTGAGGACATGCACCGCTAATGCAAGCAGCATAGTGTAGATCAGTGTTTCTTAAAGTGTGTTCCGTGGCACACTGGTGTGCCTCAAGGCAGTCGCAGGTGTGCCACGCAGAGAGAACAGAATTCGACATGGCTGCCCTTAAAGGGACAAGCCCCCCTTTTTTTGTTTGTTTTCTTTTGCTCAACAACTTTTCTTTTCCTCCAAAAAAAATATTATTTGGTGTTCCTCAGTCTTAAAAAGTTTAAGAAACATTGGTGTAGATAGACATGCACAAGCAACGTAATTTCTATGGCCAACCTAAGTTAGGTCAACTTGATGTAGTAGTGGAAACATGTCCTGAGTCCGTGGGTGTAGAGAATTAGCAAGCATAGTGCTTTGGCCGCATAACAGAGCGTTCCAAGGATGAAACCAAGCAAGAGTTCTGAGCCAACAATAACAACGTTTGCCTGAGTTAATGACCTTTGAGAGTGCTGTGTTTGTAACTGGGAAAAAGCAGTTTGTGAAAAAGCAGTTTGTAAACTTTTAAGGGTATAAAGGTAGTTGTAATCTTTCAATAGGATGATTTCATGCTTGCACCGGCCGGAGTCCATGCCTTCATACACCACAGTGGGTAACAAGGACTTTTATTGAAAGGCTACCAAACATTAATTTAGGAAGAGAACACAACCATATTCAAAAGCATGTGGCCATAAGCCAAGCCAAGCCAACCTTCAGCACCCAGGACAGTGTTGGCTGCCTCAGTTTCCCACCATGTGATGGGAAAGTTCAATAAACAAATGTCCCATTGAGTCCAGTCCAGTCCCCTGCCTTCACAGCAGGACCAAGTACCATCCCTAACAGATTTTGTCCCAGATTCCTAAATGACCTCTTGAAAGATTGAGCTCACAATCCTTGGTTTAGCAGGCTAATGCTCAAACCACTAGAGCTATCCCTCCCCCCAAGATAGAGTAAACAACTGACATTATCTGGGACTTGTAGGCTGTGTGTAGACTGGCCAGTTTTTCCGGAAAATCAGCCGCTTTTCCAGAAAAACTTGCCAGCTGTCTACACTGGCCGCTTGAATTTCTGCAAAAGCACTGACTTCCTACTGTAAGAAATCAGTGCTTTTTGCGGAAATACTATGCTGCTCCCGTTCGGGCAAAAGTCCTTTTGCGCAAAACTTTTGCACAAAAGGGCCAGTGTAGACAGCTCAGATTTGTTTTCTGAAAAAAAGCCCCAATCACGAAAATGGCGATCGGGGCTTTTTTGCGGAAAAGCATGTCTAGATTGGCACGGATGCTTTTCTGCAAAAGCACTTTTTGCAGAACAGCGTCCGTGCCAATCTAGACGCGCCGTTCCAAAAATGCTTTTAATGGAAAACTTTTCCGTTAAAAGCATTTCTGGGAAATCATGCCAGCCTAGACATAGCCGTAGGGTTTAAAAAAATAGAACATGTCCAAGCAAATTAATTTGCAAGATTCTAACCAACAGTCCTGCTG